TTCCAGTCATCAGCTATTATTTGTTTTTATGAGACTTTAAAAATATTCTAAAATAACCTAGGATGGAGCTCAGTCTAGATTGTGAACTCATGAGAGGACGAATCATATCTGTCTTCTTCACTGTATCCGCAGTACCTAGCATTATGCTTGGTAAAAGTTGAATAAATGAGCTTTGTCTTCTGTCCTCTGAACAATTTCCGTAGGAGAGCGTGTCAACAAGCTACTCATTATGTCTATTGTTAATCTTGTCATGTTCAGCAGATAAAAATGCAAGCAAAATTTTCTACACATTCCATATAAAGATTCAGTTAAGTAATAAATCGGATGTAATTACTAAATCCTAAAGGTTGAGAATCATTAAAATGTGATCCACCCAATTCAAAACCTCTTTAATTGGGTTGTGGCAGACAATTCCAGTATTTACCCTCTTTTTAAATAGCATACTTTTAATGTATTTTAATGATCTCACTAAATTTCACTATTTAAAGAGTGACTCTGTGTAATGTTAATATTTCATGCATCTCTTATAGTTTATTCCTTGTATACTTTATATGATATGGTAATCTCTACATCAGTACTGTCTTTACAGTCTTGAATTTGTAGTTCGTTGATCCAATCTTTAAAAGAAAAACTTAAGCATTTTTGTCAAAGCCACCATTAGACCAAAGTGTACTTGCTCTTATAAGGACATTCTAGTATTTATTCACTTAAGATTTAAAAAATGAATAAGACAATTTCCCAACTCCTTATAAGAAAAAGTTCCCAGGGAATTCCCTGGTGGTCCAGTGGTTTAGGACAATGTACTTTTTTGCTCTTAGGGGTGTGGTTCAGTCCCTGGTTGGAGAACTAAGTTTCCACAAGACGTGGTGTGTCAAAAAAAAAAATTTCCTTGCTTGTAGTTATATTTTTCTATGTGCTTCTCACTGTTACAGATGATGACATTTTAATTACATCTTGGGGGGGGCACATTGACTATTTTGTTCATACTAGTTTCCATTTATTCTTGATGTTAGTTCTTTTTCCTTCATAAAAAAATCAGGTGAGACTTCAAATTCATGTCAAAATAGTTCCATGTTTGTGAATTTAATCACCTGAATTCTAGAGATAGGTATAAGAAAATAAACACTCTATCATAGTTTGTGTGACTTTGGCAATAAGCCTTTTTTTTTTTTTAAGTGTTATGTGAGATCATATGTAAATAGACTATAGAAAAACTACAAAATCAAAAGATTACTCAGAATCAGATTCTCATGTATCAAATCGTGGTCTCTTTGCCACATTTCCCATATTAAAATTAAAAACTCCATTTGTATTTGGAAAGTGTTATCTTGTAGTTTTATTATCCTGTATAACTATTGACAATACAGAATAAGGACTTAAATCATATATAAAATAGTGCATGGGTGGATGGATCATGATGGATCCCAAGAATCTCACTTCTTTAATTTTTTTTGAAAATACCATATATAGAAGAAAGTCTTTAAGAGTACACAGAGAGAAGCAATTTTTCACTCCTTCAGCGATACCACCAGTACCACCTGTGACCACAGTTTTTATTCGTTTACCAGAATTGAATGAGTACCATTGAATATGCAGTTTTCCTCATGGCTTTTAAAGTGATATATACGTCTTGTTAAAAAGGATAACAACAGTTCCTTTGAGAGGCCCCTGCTACTTTTGACTGTCAGTTTTGGGCAGTTTACCTTTTTTGTTTCAAGTGGTGACTGATATTAAGTCAAATTGTCAAGTATTATTTTTATTTTGTTCAACACCTCGAGAAAAAGTGTGTCTGAAACTCCAGAATTTGACATAGAATTTAATGATCCAGCATACGCCTATAAGAGCTGAAGTTATACATAAAAGAACGTTATTCCTTTCATTGGCTACTTAAGGGCATTAGTATCACTCTGAGAAGTGAAGTTTTAGATTACTGTTGCCCTTTCCACTATCTACAAAAGGGGTTCAGTTCAGTCGCTCAGTCGTGTCCAACTCTTTGCGACCCCATGAATCGCAGCACTCGAGGCCTCCCTGTCCATCACCAGCTCCCGGAGTATACTCAAACTCATGCCCATCAAGTCGGTGATGCCATCCAGCCATCTCATCCTCTGTCGTCCCCTTCTCCTCCAGCCCCCAATCCCTCCCAGCATCAGGGTCTTTTCAGAGTCAGCTCTTCACATGAGGTGGCCAGAGTATTGGAGTTTCAGCTTCAGCATCAGTCCTTCCAGTGAATACCCAGGACTGATCTCCTTTAGGATGGACTGGTTGGATCTCCTTGCAGTCCAAGGGACTCTCAAGAGTCTTCTCCAACACCA